CATTGATTTGACGTATTAATTCACTAAACATTGATANACGNTCCATCNCTTTCTACTCACTCGCCGGCGCTCTCACGGACCATACTTCAGTTCTCGCGCACCACAAGTTGGAAACCACTGAATGAACATTAGCCGAACAGAAAACAGAGCAACAATTTATTTAAGCATGACATTGCGAGAAAATTACATACACTAATAACATTACTTCAATTTCTGCTTTAATACAACAGCTCCTTTTGTGTGATACCTTTCTACTGTTGCTAAGGACAGTGTATTTCTCACCAATTCTTGAGTTTGCGGAGATGCATTTTCAAGGAGATGCAGAAGTATGAAACATCCCTTATTACATGCGAGCTGAAATTAATATTCGCATGAATAACGAAAGGAAAAAATTCGCATAAATAACGAAAGGAAAAGCAACAAATCTTTGCTACAGATGTAGTTAATCTGGAACTAGGAAACATGAAAATGCCTACGCCTAAAAGCGCTAACTTTTTGAGGAAATTTTTCAAGAATGTACGCTTCAATTTTTATTACTAATGCGATAAAAATTTCTTAAAATTGAAACATATATTCCTACTGCTAACTTATGAACTGGATAATAGCTGAAGGAATTTGAGAATAAAAATTACCCAAGATGATAATTGATTTCTAGACCGTTTCACAATAAAATCACCGAGCTTGATATCAAATTTACAATCACTTTTTAGCAATTTAGAAATTACAAAATGTGCTTGGGGATGTTCAACTGGATGAAGTTGTCCTTCGTCACATGGTATAAATTCTCGGCTGCATAGTGATGCAATTGCATCATAACAGGCTGCACGATCTTCCATGCTCACTTTCCGATCGAAAAAATCCAAATCAGCTGAAACAGTTGAATTTTCGAGGCAAGAAAACACATTTGAAGTCGTTCTGGAAACCTTTGTACAGTAAAAAGAAATTTTCATCGTTGTGCATTTGTAAGAAGGCACATGGAGCGAGTTGGTTCCATTGCAACTTCCCTCTTTCTCTCTTCTGCTTTCTTTGAGATGCTTAGCTGTCAGTAAATATTTCGATTTTGAAAAGCAGTTCAAACGATTAGCAAAATTACTACACATTAAACGTACTTGGAGCCTCCAGCATATCCAAAATAAGTAATGATGCGTGGCTTTCAAAAAGTAAAGCATCCATGTTTGCTGCGAAATAGTTGCAAAATGGCTTCTGAATATATGAAAATAACTCTCCGTAACGTATCTTGGAATCCTTTTTGCTGTATGGATTCCCGTCTCCCTGAAACATTCAAATTCTAAGGACCATAATTAAAAGTAAATATTTCACAGAAAAAAACAGCTGCGAAACTTAAGAAATAAACGGAAAAATCTTTCAGTTATAAATTCCTAACAATTCACTATGCTGTTAAGTTATTGAGGTAAGTTCGGAATGATGACGGCATCAATTAATTATGAACTAACCGCTTTATAAATTGCAACTTGTGATGCTGAACAAAAGCGAGGATCTCTTGGATGAATTAAATGATGCATAACTTTTACACCATAATTACTTTTAACAATCTCGCCAATGTTATTCAACAGCTCCTGGAAAGCTAGTATCATTAAACCATTTTTTTTAGAGCAGTTAAACTGATTATAAAAAAGCAAACAATTAACTTCTTGCTCTTATCCTTTCTCCTACTTATGATCAAGCATTGATTCAAATTAATTACACACCGACTTTTTCTCTCCATTGTTCCAGATTTTTATAAGAGGATTAAATTATGAAAGCTTAGAAAAAAAAGTCAACCTTTATAAGACATCTATCAATTAGTACCGTATCATCCACAGTATCGAAAACAGCAATCAAAAAACGATGCGCAAACTCCTCCATGCAAGTTTTCGTTATCAACCCTTTGAAGTTTTTCAACATTATCTATAATGAGCGCTTGATTCCTTGACTGGAAATAGAAAAAACTGTCTCATTTAAACTGAAAAATAGAAAAAGTTTCCATGGTTACATGCCCTAAACCTCTTCTTTAAAAAAAGAAAAAAAGACAAGCAACCTTTCTCGTCTTCGCAGAGCTATTCCACAAACATTTCATTGCGACGCGCACGCCATCACTTGTGTGGACGATCTAAAACATGAAGATTTTCTTCAAAAACCTGTATCATAATTTTCTATAATTTCTTTAGAATTTTTCGAATATTGCGTAATCTTTTTTCCTCTTTCTCATCCTCACTTTATTACCCCTCGTTTTTCCCTTATTCAAAATAATATATTTACATATGCCTATAAACTGAAGTGACAAATGCTTATAAACTGAAGTCACCTGAGGTATGCATAGTTTTAGTGAATCAATCATCTCTTCTAACTGTTTGCTGTCGGCAAATTCGAAAAAATCACTCAACAAACGATGCGTCAAACTTAACTTTATTTGAGGCCTAAAAATGAACAAACATGATTTATAACCGATGAACTTCCGAACTGTTCAGCAAAAAAATTAAATCAGAAAGAGCAAAATTCAAATGAAGTAAATTTGATGTCTTAGCTTAAACTGCCAAATTAATAATTACTTGTCCACAATATCAATGAGGATGCTTTGAAGATATTTGACAACTGATGATTTTCTGTTCGGACAGTCGTCTATTATTTCTTTCAGTGTGCGTACTCTATTATCAACAGCCTAAAAACACACTGGGAATTCGCATTTCAGAGCACATTAATTTCAAAGATTAAATCAAATTTCCATTGAAAAATGACTTCTAATTATTTGAATCATTTATCTACAAAAACGAGAAAAGTTGCGAACTAGTGACCTTGAAAGAGGCAAAATCTACTCCGAAAAATTCAATAATAATGTTATATCGCTGTTGTGCATTTGCATAATCATTGTAGGCTGACTCTAAAACTTGTGCTGCTGATGACACGCGTAACAACGACACACAGTGACCTCGAAACGCATCAAATATTGCTTGACGTTGTGTCACAGATCTAAATCAAAACATTTCAGTACTGAAAATGAAATGATTTCATATGAAGATTAGCTCCTTTAATGTACATTAAAATATTAGAAAGGAAATTAATAGGCTCAGGTTTCCAGTATCGTCAATAATATCAAAAGTAAAAAAATACAAGTAAAAAAGGTCAGGTATGTTTGCGCTTCCACAAAACTATTTTCAGAAGAGATTACTGATTCATCTCGAAGCTATTGTGGGACTACTTGAATATGAGTTTGAAAAAGTTGGGTGTTTGCAAGGAAAAAAGACTTTAGTTAATTGAAATCCAAATTCCTGAAATGTGTACATTTTCAAACTTTCACAAAGGCTCAATTTATGCTTTCGCTTTAAATAAGCATAAGTTATAAGTGAATTATCTTAAATGACTAAGAAACTCTTCATATTCTTCATTCTAATGAGATGTCTCGTCGTTAATGTAATAAATTTATCAAACATAAGAATTTACTAGAAGCATACCCATGTTTAAGCATTTTTATAACGAAAAAACGAGCATATTTTGACTTTGCCATACTGATGATCTCTGATACAAGCTCTTCAAAAAGTGCATTTCGTACATCGCTCCCTCCATTTGTTACCATGCATTCCACAACTCGGCACGCGTCATGCGCAAATATTAATTCCTTCACTTTCCCCTCCACTATTCCAAAAATTTCGGTGGCCACTTTCTTTCGCTCAGTCTCATTCGTTTTTCCACTATAATATTGGCTTGACTGCAGCACCAAATGCTTACAATTTTTTAAATACATTATCCAAAATAAACTGAGACAACAGATTCCCAGACAACAGATCAGAAATAAAATCATATAGAAGTAAACCAAAAAAAGACTACCAGCGTAATTTCTCCCACAGATGTTTGCATTGAAGTACAAGGTCAAAATGTGGCTTGTGTTTCTTCCGTAACTCTCGAATATACATTTTGCGTTCTTTTTTCGGCATACTCAACAACTTTTGTTTCACTTTCCGCGTTACCTAAAATGTAGTAAGGCATAATTCCAAGCACTTTCTATATAAATCATGATCACGGTGAAAACAATGACAAGATATAATTCTTCTGAGGAAAGAAAAAGGCCTACTTCGCTCAAGAAAATGGGAACTGAAGCTTTCCTACACAATATTCACAAGGCACAAACAATGCTATAACCCAAAACAACAAGAATGATTAAGCTGGTTCAGCATGGATACACTCATGTCCGATACAAACTGAATACACATTTACAAACTTCTAATTTTCTCCTTCCACTCACTGGCCGAATTTTTCCACCACTAATTTTCTGCACTTGTCTTTTTCTTGATTTTTTTGTCTCCTTTCTTTTCGAGATTGGTATAGCAAGTTTTACTGTTGAATCCATGGAGGCCTCCTGCTTTGGTTTTTCTGTTTTTGTGGCCTCATTGTGAGCTTCTCTCATTGTCAAACGCGTAAGCATATTCTCTCGTCCTAAGACTTTGCCTCTAGAGTTTGGAGTTACAAACAAACTTGGTGAATTTTCCGACCCATCTTCTTTCTTCATAATGATACTTCTACCAGGACTAGCTGTTGACGGTGAGATCTGAAATGCGTCCAAATATCATGCATATCCATCAACTACCTGAACCATAGAAACTTTTGTGGTACTTAGTCATCGGAGTACGGCCACAAACCCTTCAGGAATCTTTGCCGATTATTATACAGAGAATTCGTATAATGAACTGTATAATGTAGCTGCGGTTGTCTTTATAAAGCTTATACAACAAACTTTTCAGTAGTTAGCTTCTTCTACTTACTGTTAGCCTCTTCTTTTTGTCAAATACTTTCATCCTTTCCAAATCGGCAGCAAATGATACTCGCTTCTTTTTCGCTTCTGGAAGGTCTGTATTACCCTTCTCACGTCTTTTACGAGTGAACTTTTTGTCCTGCTGTTTACTTTCCACCTGCAACACACTACTTATGAAATGCACTTTCCCATCCTATGCTTCAAAAGCATGCACCAGTTCCTTCTTTGCCTAAAAAACTGCACGTATCCAGAAAAATACAAAATCAATCAAAATTTACAGAGCAGCAAATCAAGTTTCATATGATATATTTCATACGTTTATTTTACTATATGAAAGAGAAAGGGAAAAGGCAGAAGAGCTACCTGCCCATTAGCTTTCATCCAAAGTTTTTCTGTGGGATGCTTGATACCATTCAACATCGATTCCTCCTTGTATTTAACCCCTTTTCTCGAAGCACTTCTCTTCTCTTTCTCTTTCTTTATCTTCATTTATCCGTTTCCCTGAAAAGTAATCAACTATACATACTCCCATCTCGCTTACTTATCACTCCAGCCTTACCAACCCACCTACCCAACATCGACTCTACAGGCGAACATGGTTTGCTTCAAGTAAGACCACCTTACATCACTAAAATTAGCTGGTGATGAAAATACTTATCCCGTCGTCGGTTGATATATGCAATGGGAGAGCTTATGGGCAATAAGAGTGAGGTCTATGACGTGATAAGTATGACTTCAAAACGCTGACGAATCGGAATGTCGCACTGGACGCCAAGTTATGTGGAGGGCCTTTTACGACCCTCAATTTTACCATCGTTGAGGATGTGGCAGTGCTTGTGATGTTACTATTCTCATCTCTGATCCATTGTGCTTATGCTTGTATGCCCAGATCATTCTCACATTTCATCCACCTCTCACTGCGATATAGCATTAAAGTTGATTGGAGTTATTGTCAAATCATTCGTTTTTGGAAATAACAGTAGTTCATTATAATTATTTTCATTTAAAATTTGGTTCAGACATGCGCTAATGATTCGAGGTTATAATTCGTGAAATTTTAATTTCACGCTCCGATGACTTTAAGTGTTTCATTAGTTCAACATATGTGTGAATCTATTCATTTTTAAGTATTTACGACTTTCTAATCAATTCCCGAACTATATTGTATATGCTAATTTTACAATAATTTTGTTTTCAATACTACTAATTTTCGGTGGACCTAACAGTGTATTCATGTAAAGCGGTCAAGGGGGCTTTAGGGCGCTTCGAGAGCCCGGTGAAACTTTTGCCAGCCATCAAATTGAATATAACACTTGAAGATGGAAGTCGGAGTAATTCCACATATTATCCTTACTTCAATGACTTAACAGACCAGTTTGAAACAGTAGACTTGGTGTAAGTTTAAAAAATTGTCTTTGGAGAAATCAGTTTAGCTTTGATTTTATTTGACCTTCTCCAACCTAATTTGGTTTAAGTCAGATTTAGCATGATTAAAATTGAAGACGATTTTATCGAATCTGAAGCGGTTCGAATCTCTCACATTCGCAGATATGCATTAGTACGGAAACAGTCCGGTAATTTTAAAAACACCTGATGCTTTACTTTGATTTTTTAAGTCATAATTTTTGGTATCCTTTGATGCGAAAGATATTTAATTGGAGGAACGAAGAAGTAAAAGAAAATTATGACTGGGAAATGAGATCGTTTCTCACCTTTTATGATTATCCGTGATCGAACTAGTGGTCGAAGTCTACTTCCTTTCTTGAATTTGTTTTCAGTTCTATGTGACAAGTTTTCTGAATTTCAGTATGGCGAATACTGATAAGAGTCAAGTATTGAAACCCCTATTGCTTGGCCTGACGATGATAGTTACTGGATCGGTTAATACTATCGCTGCAAAGTAAATGTCGTTGAAAGATTCATAACTTTAAAATTTAATTTCAAATGTTCCCGTTGCTGTCCAGAATTCCATTCATTTTAATATCAGCTGTCTTATGTATCGTTTCGGCGTGCTGTAATATATTCCAGAGCTGTTAAAATTTCTTTTCTTTTTTGCTTTACTTAACTGTATATATAAATGCTTGACTGGAGTGTTGTTGCTATACAATTAATTAGTAAGATAGCATAAAATAGCAGTAGTGGTAAGTAGGACAATTTCCGCTTATGTTTTTGATAGCTTCTCACACATTGCAGGTGGGCTGATAGCATGAAAGTAGACACCAAACATTTCAATCATCCGTTCGTTCAGGTACATGTTTAAAATTTAAAGTTTGGGTCTTATAAAATTATTTAATTTGGTGAACGATATTTTCCACTTTGCTAGCCGAACTGATCAAAAGAACCGAATTGATTAAATGAACGAATTTACTATTGTTAGTTATAAATGGCGATTCAACACTATTCCAAATTATTATTTTTAAAAGAATTTTATGGAATTTGCCAGAATTAAATTGTAGTATACTATCCATCGCTTATGTGTTACATCTTAAATTTTAAAAATTCTTTTTGGAAAAAGTTTTCAAATTTTAATTTGCCTCATAGAATTGGTTGGATGGGCTTGCATAATTTGTTTCGTTTAGAGTTTTTCTTATTTGTTGAAATAGCATCATGCATATTTTGTTACCATGCATAGAAGTTTAATGGATATTTATTTTCAGGGAATCTGCATGTTTATCGGTGAATTGTCATGTTTATTTGTCTACATCATTGCACGTTACATTCAAAATCACCGTGTTCAGACGTCGCCATATAGTGATGAAGGAAGTGGAAACGGCATACCGTCTCATATTTCAGAACAAAGTTTTCTGAAGTTTAATCCTTGGGTGTTTGCTGTACCAGCATTTTGTGATGTTCTTGCAACTTCGATAATGTATATTGGTTTAAACCTTACGCAAGCTTCATCATTCCAAATGTTAAGAGGTTGGTTCCTCAATGTTGTTTTGTCTAATCCTTCGCTTAGGTTTCTCCTTCCATTATGTTTACCGTTTGTAATTTATTACTTACTTCAGTTCTAAGGACTTTAAAACGTGTGTTTTGTGATCCTTGTGTTATTGTTTCTTGTATTATTGTTAAAGTGCCTCATATTAAAGTGTTATTCTTCCTCGCTTTTGTTACTTTAATGAAATTGCAAAGAAATTATTTCTCTATGTCAAATCTGTTTTATTTCAGGCGCTGTCATAATATTCACTGGTCTGTTTTCGGTTGCTTTCTTAGGATCATATCTACAAGGTTTTCGTTGGTTAGGTATGGGCTTTATTACTCTTGGTCTCATTATCGTCGGAGTGAGTGATATTATCTTCGATGAAAACTCTAAACGTGATGTCAATGGAATTATTACAGGTTTGGTTCATTATTTAGAGAAGGAAAGATTAACAAATTTTGAGAAATAAATGGATTTATTGACCTTTTTTTTCGCTGTAAGCCCAAGTTTATTTACAAATCATATTATAAAAAAAAAACTAGTATCAAGATCAAAATACAGTGTTGATAATTTCTCATTTTTGCTTGTTCTATATATGTGACTTTAACGAACTTGCATTTTCCTGGGATGTTTTTTGGTATTTGGTATAAATTATCGTTATGTCATTACTGTCTACACAATCATGTCAACACTGTAACTGGCTTGCGAATTTTAAAAATAATTGTAAAGAGTGTGTGCTGAAGTAAGCTCGAATAGTGGAGTTTGAGATGAATAAATCTGTCATTTTCATTTGCGTGTACCAAGTTTGGAACATTTTGTATAATATATTTAATCAACTAGAAAATACTGAGTAGTTTTGATATGTGATTCTATTAATCAAATACATACATTGAGACGATTAAATGCTGATGTAATGTAATATTTAAAAATATTTTCCTGCTACTGTTTCCCTGCATCAAAATTTTGGAAATATCTGAGTCTGTATATACCAAGCTACATCCTGTTTTTAAGAAATCACGACTGATGCATGATTTGACTTGCAATCTTTCTGACTATACATTTTTTTAGGCGATTTGCTAATCATTATTGCTCAGATTATAGTAGCGATTCAGATGATCGTTGAACAAAAAATCGTTACTGAATTTGATGCACCACCTTTACTTGTTGTTGGTTTGGAAGGTTTGTTATTTGGATGCTGATTTTTGCTTGAAATTTTTATGCCATATGATTTCTGATTTTGGATTGTGTTGATTGGATCTTAATTATGCATGTGTAAATAAGCAAATGCATAGTTTTTTCTCTTGCCTGAAGGTAAACCAGTTGCTAAACCAGTTGTTGTAGGTCTCTTCGGCTTAGCGATTTTGACATTTTTACTGTTCCCAATGTATTACATAAAAGTTCCATTCATTTTTTCCACAAATCCTTATCATCGACTGGAGGATATATTCGATGCATTTCGAGAAATGAAAAGTAATCCGTGGATTGGATGTGCGTTGCTGCTTACTATGATTAGGTCAGTTGCAGTAATTATTCAGTTTAGTTTCTGAAGATAAATTAATCAAGGAATTATTAAATTAGTCGATAGCAGGAAGCATATTTTTGTGCAGTAGACAAGGTTATTTTCATTATTGTTTTAATAAATCTGCTGATATGCTGCTTCACTGGAATATAATGGTCTGCATATCCTATGCGCTATTTAGCATCAAAATTTTAATTTCATTTAGTAATATTTCTGACTAAATAGAAACCGCAAGCCAGTGATCGTTACAAAAAAAAAAAAAATACCTTTTCGGGATTTCTACGCAAATTCATATGATTTTTTTCGCTTCCACTCTTCGATTTGTAGCCTTTACTCCAGCAATACCAGAATACATATGTCACTGATTTATCATTTTGGTCGTTTGTTTCCTACAATCTCCCTTATCTGTTGACAGTTTTTTCTAGCATTGCATTTTTCAATTTTACTGGTATTTCTGTCACTAAGCAATTGTCAGCAACGACAAGGATGGTGCTTGACAGCGTTCGAATTCTGTTAATTTGGCTGGTATCAATTCCACTTTTTGGTGAACATTTCATTCCTCTGCAGGTACATGGATTATACAATGCTTTTCCGTTAATATTAATTTCATTGAGAGATGAATAGGAACAGAAGCGTTCATGTATTATCTTTATTCATTGCGTTTTTGCAGCTACTCGGGTTTGCACTGCTCATTCTTGGAATGCTTGTTTATAATGACATTTTTTTTGGACCTTACTTACGCCAAAAAGTAAGTTTTTGTTTTTTGTTTAAAAAGAACTATCAATTTTACGAAAATTGAAAAACATATTCGATTAGAGCTTGATCTTTCAAAATTTTTGTTTAGCAGTTTGACCTGTCGAATTTTTGCCGTCACAAGTCTTTAATTTGCATTGCTTTATTATAGGGAATTATTAACATATTTGCTAATTTCTTCATAGATTCTCGATTTAAGAGGAAGTGCAAGATAATTTTATTTCGAAATATTTTCTGTTTTTAGATATTGCCTCTTGTCAGGAATAATCATTTGGCCGGTTGCTGTATGTCATTTTGGGAAGTCGACTTGGTTACTGCTGGTTGTAGTCCACTAGTTGAAGATAGTAACGAATAATGAAGCGGCCTTTCCTTTAGTTTATTGTTAGATAATTTATGAAATATTCGAAGTATTTGCGATTTGAAACTTCTAGTTTTTGAAATTTTTTTTCCGTAAATTTTTCCATACGGCACATTGATTTTTTCCAGATGTCCTTTTCTCCAAATTTCGCAAAGGAAATAATTTTTTATATTTCTTGAAAAATTACATTTTTTACCGTATACTAAATTTGTTTTTTGCTTGCATTATATCATTTTCCATATTATTTACTGATTTGTCAGTCATCCCAAATGCCTGTAACAATTCTTGTTATTTGTTTGCTCGAAGAAATATTCCGAAGTCATTCATTTCTTGTCCTCTCCAGTTCGTTATATAGTCCTTGCTTTGACAACGTTCAAATTTACTGTAAATTAGAATTCGTTTTTAAATTAAGTTAACAATTTTTGTAGGTGAATTCTGCACATCTTATAGTAATGACATTGTATAAATAGTTGCACTTCAACCAGCAACACTCATAATTTTTTAGTTGTGGCATAATATTATGCACTGTGATTCTATTTTTATACGTCAGTTTTCATGAAGCTAATTGCTATATCTTTGGGTGGGACACCGTCAAATTATTTCTGGAAATTATTTTCTTTTTTCTTTCTGAAAATGAAATTGTGCACTTTAAAGTACATTGTACATTGTTACGTCTCACAAGAAGTTTGACATGTATGTTATCACTCGGAGAAAAAGCTATCAAACTTAATGTTTGATTTCCGATATTAGTATGGTTCTTTACCAGTGTTTTCTCCATCAATTTTCCGAACTTTTTCTGATTATCATTCTAATGAGTTGAGGATTTTAGTATCTCGTAGCATGACAAATTAGTTGTTACTAGCTATACGTCAATTTATTAAACTACTGCTGAGCTGAGGAGCCATCTTTGATGATTGAAAATCCATGCAATAAATGAGAGGTTGATCCTACAACTATGTACTTGGTGACAGTAGTTTTGTTGCTTTTTCGTGACTCTTTGCTTATTATTTCTTCGTAGTTGTTAATCGAAGTGTTACTCAGGGTGACGATTTTGTCCCCTTTGCCTTCCTGAATATGAGTTTTGATTTCGTATCCAGCATAGCAGAAATGTAGAATATTTAGTGAGTTTTGATGGTTCATTTGTTCATTTTTTTAATTCAAGATATTTTGTGAAGTTAGAAGTTTGATGAACACGTTTCATAATCCCCCTAAGTCTTATTTCTGTCCAAATGTATTTTATCGAGAGAAGTGTACCAATTTTTCCGATTTTCTCACATTATTGCTCGAGTAACATTACTGGGGAATTTGTCCTTTCCAATAGACGATGTATTTAAAGATATAAGACTTGTTAGCTGTATGAACCAGCAGTTTGCCAAAATTATCTATCACTAAATGTAAATTATATTTGAAAAACTTGGTGTGGAGGTTATGATCAAGAGACTTGATGTCTGCTGTGAAATAATCTTTCTGGGAAATAATCCTCCTATTGATTATCTTGTTTACTAATATCGAAAATCAAACCACTCAATATTTGTATGCTTGTGACAGCGACTCAGTGGGTTTGTGGAACACCTCGAAATAAGGGTTTGTGAAACACCTCGAAAATTTGTGGAACACCATGCCTCAATAAAGCCTAAAAACTACTTGAAGCCATACGAAACAACTGTGTTATTCAGAATGGTCTGACGGCGAACAAGCATTTTGTGGAAGCATATGTGGATGTTTTATGTGCTTGTATGTAGTATTTTATAGAAAGCGACTGTTTACTCAACTTTAGTCCAGCGTTGGTTCATCAAGTGACATTGTCGTGTGACTTCCAGATTTGCATAGGATTCAGGAATCATCCCTCACTGCTGCATTAACGTCATACATTGCTTAAAATATTTTTGTAACGTTTTTATATATTATATATTCTAAGTATTTCGTAGTCCATTCTTCACTGCATTTCTTATATTGTTGTTAACTCTTTTAACACTGCATTCTTAATTTTTCAAGTGCATTATGTAATACATGAATGCAACGATTCAAATGACAATATAAATAGTGTGCGGATCATAATAGATATGGGTTGTGTCAGTACCGCTATCTCATAGTAGTTTCATCTAAATACGGGTTAGATCTTATCAATTTCTATCCTTGGGTCATGTTAAAATTTTAATAGAAGTATCGATAGAAAGTTAAGTTTGTTTAGGGATCACGTACTACGGATAGACCATTTAATAGCGTGATAAAATGAAGGACTAATGTATAGCTTCCTAATAAGGAAAAGTAAAAGTAAAATTTGCTGTCCTCTTCCAAAGAAATTTTTTCCATAAAATTATCGTTTTTATTTTTTTTCATAATTTTCCGTAAAATTTTCCATAAAACTTCCTCCAAAGGGATTTTCATAAAATTATCCAGTGCCTTAATATGAGAGTGAACGCTATTTGCTACGATCCGGTACATAAGATTAGTTTTTACTATAAAAAGATGAAATTCATTTTAGGATTTACACTAGTGTACCCTTTCATATGTTACTTCAGAGTTATGGAGCTGTGATTTATTCGTAAATAATGTAACACATGAAGGAAAATAACACTAACTTCATTTACTACGGTATATATGGCAAATGCTGCAGTTCTAATTTTTTAACTGTAATTAATGGCTATCTGTGTTACTATTCAGAATTCCTGCTTACATTTGCAGAAGTATTTTTGAAAGGATGTTCTGGAAGTTTAGAATAATTCGAATTTGCTGTTTCATAACATCTGCTTGATATCGCATTGTATAACGTAAATAGGAAATTTTTTCTCAAATATTGCTAATGAATGACAGCTCATTAGGAAAAACTTATTGCATGCGATTTAATAATATGTCGACACGAAGAAGTAATCGTTAGTGGTTCACTCTGCTTATTCGTTTTTTTTACATTTATAAGCTACAAAAATGAAACATACGATATTCAATGTATTGTGCAAGCAAAACAGTGTACTTTATGTTTCAGTTCATTTGACTGAAACATGGTTTGTATATCGAAGGATATCAAAGGTATTTTAAGTGGATAGGACTGATTTTTTAGTACTTGGGAAACAGAATCCCGCTCATTTTTGACAAATTAAGGAGCTTAATACAATTCAATAGTCTCTTACTTCCCTGTCCAGTATCTGTGATGGGAACGTTAAGAATTGTGGATTGTTGATTCTTTAAACATTTCGTTCCCAGAATTCTCCATGGTCAAAATGTCTAGTTTTTAGTATTTGTAAGTTTCGTTTCTATGTTCCTGTTTGAAATCATCTTGTTTCAGTCGTGAAAAGGCTCCATGTTACATGTAACTGACTCATCGATGAAAAGATTTGTGTATGAGATATGGCGTGACGAGAATCCGGCAGCAATGCTACTCCAGAAACTTGTCAAGAACAAGAAATCTATTGTCATTGATTATTCTTCCCCAAATATTGCCAAACAATTTCATGTTGGCAATTTCAGGTCATTTCTGGAATTTCTTTTAATAAGGAAGCATTTTTGGATATTTCCACTTGGTCTTTATCTACACTTAGCAGTTTATGACAACTCATGTGCGAACTATATAGCAGGAAATTCCATCATTATTTTGTTATCTAGGAGAAATTTTAGTTAGAAATTAGAAAATTTTAGCTACTTTTTGTTAATGTAGTGAACACAGTATGATATTATAAATGTTGAATTTCTACACTTTCTTAGGTAATGTAAAGAACAAAGATTAATCTGCGAATTATTGCTATAAGCTGGCTTCAGTTGGGAGCGAACAGTAATCCAAAGTTGCTGATTTCATTATGGTTCATTAATTTTAGTAATGGCTGTAGATTGTTCGTTTGCCTTTCAATACTATTGAAAATATTTTTTGAGCACTTTTTTTCCAAATATTTTTGTTGTTTTTATTTACAGATCCACAGTTATTGGGCGCTATATCGATACAATAAATAGAGCTGCTGGCAATAAAGTTATGTCTATCAACTACATCGGTGACTGGGGATTGCAGTTTGCACTGATTGCTGCTTATTGGCCCATGATGAAACCCTCTCAAGAGGTATACTTATTTCACTTTACCTATTTTTTATTATTCGTTGTACAAGAATGACCAGAAGGGTCTTTTTTCAGGAATGGTCTGCGTGGAACACCATGCAAAGGCTCACTCTATTAGCTAAATGCTATGTTGAAGCGAACAAATCAGCTGAGCGTTCTAACAGTTTTCTACAAAGAGCTCACGATATTCTCGCCAGCATGGAAAACTCGCTGTTAACTGCTGGCACCAGTGAGCATTTATCATTCTGGCAAAGTGCAAGGCAGTTATCGCATGAACAGTTGCATCGTTTTTATAGGTATAGCAATATTATACTATGGCTGTATCTAGGGTACTTTAAGAGAAATGTGACGTAATCCGACTGGCTTTCACTTGTTCTACTCTTCCCAATAATTATCTTAATATCTTCCAATTGTCATTGTGGAGACTATATATCATAGAATCTTACTATTCTCAGACTTTATACACCATTTGTCATAAAATAACACTATTAGTAGTTAAAAAAGGCTATAAGATATCGGAGACCAAAGTATTGCTACATTAATAAGAGATTTAAATGAGTGACACCCTATACTGAAACTGGAATATAGTTTGCGGATTTCTGGTTATTTGTTATATTTAGAGTTATAAGTCTTATTGATAACCGATAATTTCTGATTCAAATATCATTACGAATGAAAAAGTTCCAGACGTATCAACTTATCAATGGATGTGGAATATTTTGAGTCCGATTTTGTTGTTTCTGCTCATCAATTAATTGATCGTATGTTACGAGAAGGACAAGCCGAAAACGGTGGTAATGGTGCTATTTCGGTCAGATGCAAGGAATTGGATAAGCCTATCATTATCAGAAGGCCCAATAACACTACTCTTTATTTGTCCAGGTAACTACTAATTTTTTCTTCTGACTGTAAAATCCCATTAGTAATGTGTTGAAATTGATAATCACCCAATTTTTGTAAATTGGTGGAATTTATTTTATTGTGGATGCAAACTGTGGTAGAGTAACTTTCTGACTTCCAATTTCTAAAGTTTAGGGATTTAGCTTCGGCTTTGTTACGGGAGCAGCTATACGCAGCGGATGAGTATTTGTATGTGGTTGATCATGCACAGCGACAACATTTTAACAACTTGAAGTACCTTTTGAATGCCATGGGACGGAACGACATTGGTGATAAAATACAACATGTCTCATTTGGACGCGTAAAGGGCCTTTCTACCAGGTGGTGCTATTTAAAACTTTTATTCTTACTTTGCTAAACCTTATAAGCAGAGTGTTTCTTGTTAATTTTAGTTTGTTATTGCTTGAGAATAATTCGTTGCTCCAGTCTGTAAATTATTCTAGAAGACTTGGCTTTCCTGTTTGCACAGATTTTTACAGACTAGGAGAAGTTGAATTGGTAAGTAAAATATTGGATCATGGTTTGGAGCTTGCAAAATCTTTTATTACCAAATCTAAAACAATGAAAATTGGCCAGGATGAAATTTCTCGTAAGTTCATTTTTAGCTACATTTATTCCTTGATGATGTAATTATACAGCAGTTGATAGCTTAGCATTTGACAGGCTGTTGAAATGTAATAAATATTAAGGAAATAGCTCCGATATAATGTATTTTTAAGAAGTCGCAGCTAATTTATCACTTGGAACAATGATAATCGATGATCTCAAGAGAGCACGATCCACCGATTACTCATTCTCATTCGACAAGGCATTTCAAATGAATCAAAATAATGCGCTTCTTCTACAGGTACAGTTCCATTTATAAATCCTTCGAAGATTGAACTAGCTCTACCTCACTGTGCTTTCATTTTTTACTTTTACGATATGTACCGCAGCAGATCCTTTGATTAAGTACTCTTCCCGTAATGCATAATGCTTCTGTTGATATTAGCAATGTTTAAAAATATGCCTTTTATCGATGATACCTAAGTTTTGGTGGCCAAATGTACTTCATCAAGAATGCTAAGATTTGGTGGCCAAATGATGAACGCTTATCTTTTTTACAGCTTTAACTTGCACATTGTTGATTCCAGACGAAACACAGCCGACTAATGTCAATCGAGGAACGGAATCACACCTTAAAGCAGGACCTGATGGAGAGATTTGAGGGGGATTTCGAAACGAATGAAGCGAGTTGGCGTCTTTTGAAACAGTTCAAAGCATTTCCTGATGTTCTGTACGCTAGCTACCAAGAAATGGAACCCTGTCGGTTAACCGTGTACTTACTGCAGTTGGCAAACATTGTGGGCTTCGCTTCCTGTATTCTTCGGATATCAAGTGAACCAATAGAGGTTGCAATACCACGCCTTTTATTGTTATCAACTGCGCGAAAAATTCTGAATAGTGGGATGCGTCTATTGGGTATGGAGCCACTGAAGAAAATGTGATTGCGAATATATCTACAAACTTTGGTTGTGTATCATAAAATCTCTTTTCATTTCGTTTTCATGCTCTGAACTTCTTAAAATAAATGTTTAAATACCATTATATATGTAAACAGGATAATAGCGCGAATGAAGATCTGAACTGATATGATTTGAATCCATAACTCAATGGGTTTTAAATAACCGAAAATTTTTGCACTGAGATATGACACTATCTAAACGCTTACGAAATTGTGGAAGAACTTTGAAGGTTTGTTCTTCAAAATTATTTTTAACAATGAAAATCATTTCTCTCTATTACCTTGAGCATTTCAACTTTTAAATTCATACCTTTGTCCAGCAAAACAATATGAATTCTGAACAGCTTTTCGTAATTTAGCATCATATTTTAACATGTGTATCAAACAGTTAAAGTTCTTCATGTTGATCAATAAGAGTGGTAGGATCTGGGCATGCAGCAGGGGAACGCAAAGTGAAAAGATATTCACATTTGCTTGGTTCTGATGCTCCTACTAACTGCGTCTCCTCTCCACATTCAGTGACTACTTTTGTGGATCGGTCCGGTCCATTCCAGCACGGTGTGCCTTTCTCGTAGCTTTGCAATGTATATTTGTTTGGTTCAGTTCCAATCCAACCACTCCATTTGCTGCAATAAGAAGTTTAACCGGAAATTCTGCAAAAATCCCAATTTTTGATGTCATTTCACGAAAAGTGTTTCAAATCGCCATATATATACATTCGAAAAGTCTAAAGCTGGATAGTCGTATATAGTTCGGAAGTCTAAAATCGGGTAACAGTATCAAAATTTGGAAATTGATTACAGTCGACACTATAATTGCAAATTACAAGGCGACTGATTATTGTTTAAAAAATTAATAACCAACTACCGATTACGCAGTATTTTCAACATACCCTAAATCAGTATCGATAGCGCTATTTTTACCCTTCTGCACAGCTTTGTCAAATAAACACAATTTATAAGTATATTCATTTTCATCCATTTCAAAACATTTCCCTTTCAGCGAGGCCCAAGCCATATCGGTTCCAAAATCATCACCATCATACTGTTCAGAATCTCTGAAAAGATTTCATATCAAATTTACTTCTGGAACAAAATGTTCTGCCACCACAAAAGTCTACTAGTTTACCACACATACTTGTTCAAATATTCTACCTAACTTATCGCCACTTGTTCCCTATTGCTTTTTTTTACCCTCGTCATTCACTTTTTTGTTTTTTCCTCTAGTTTTATCTATTATGTTATTATATGTTTCCAAGAGTAAATTATTACTTGATTGACAATTCGAGATCTGTACAGAGTTTATCAACATCATCATATTCCTTCTTTGCATTCTCTGCCTCTGAAAGAGCAATGTGATGAAGCAAAATCCAAATTTTCAAACCTAATTTTTACATGTAAGGTCGCCTTTGATAGCTACTAAGTAAAAATTGACAAAATACAAAACCTTTTACTATTGCTTGCGTTTCTTTATCGAACGCTGGCCGATTTAAATCGATATTTGGAATTCGAGGGATTTTCACGTCAATACTTTCACTTTCATTCGATTTGATTTCCCGTAGTGTATCGATTCCATTACTATCTGGTAGCTCTGGAATTTCTTATATATCGAAGCACTTTCATTGATACGGTGGAAAGGATAAATGCATTAGTACAGTTCTGCATAGACTTTTTAATTTCTTAAAAGATTATGATTCCTAAACAACAAATCCCTGATCTGTCCGGTTTTGTTTTGGAGGTATATGCATCTCCAGTAAATCCAAATCTCAATATCATAGAAACTTTTGAAGGATACTAGTATTTTCTAAACAAATTGGATCACGTGAACATCTCTAACAATTATCATATTCTGCCTCATTCTGGATTACTGGTAAAGCATAGCGAACCTTCTGAATATTATTTGAATTGTTTAATACCTCTTTCCAGCAACTCACTCTACCAATTAGCCTATTTTCGAAATGTTCTCCACCTTTGTTTTAACTGTTTTTCGGCTTCAAACGACAATTTGTTCTCAATAATGAAGAAGTGGAGTTAAATTCTATTGGTATAAGCAAAGTAGACTGACGTTCGTTTTCGTCTATTTCTGTCGCGATTTCGCTTGGTTTTTCAAAAAGACTGCGTATATTTTCGTAAACATTTTCCGAAAAAAGTTCGAAGCTACACTCTTCTACTCCATCAGGTAAGATATGCTAAAATCGATTGATTTACTTAAAAACCCAATGAAAAGAGTGAAAGAGAACTTTTCATGTTTTATGAACCTAAGATTTCCTCCTTTCAGTCAATTCTTTGCATCCTATGCTTATGCTATCAAATTTCAGTGATGAAAAAAACAAATTAGAGAGATCAATATCCCATATTTCCTCAAAAACAATGAAAAAAAACTGCGAAAAATTAGTATTAACAAAAATGAACCTTGATCTCGTCATCAGAAACAGCCCCATCCCCATTTATATCAAACTCCTTCGCCAATTTCAGTTCTTCCAAAGTAATCCTGAAATGTTATTGAATTGATGCTCTTACTCCAAATTTCTAACAATAAAAGTTGGTATCCAAAAAAAACCATTTATACCTTGCAAAAGCTTTTGTAAACTACTGTATGAATTTCCATTCATATAATGAAAATAAAATCCTTACTTCCCATCTTTATTTGAGTCGAATGCAGTGAATAGTATTTGCACGTACTCTTGCTTAAGTCTTTGCTTTTCTTCTGCAATGCAAATTAATTTGGAAACAAAACTGTACTGCGTTATAACAACTCTTGCCACACGAAATTTTAGGTACAGTGATTTACGAGGTGTCAAAGTACCACTATCTATTCTTGCAGACTAGATCTATTCCTTACCATTTATAATTCACTATCTTCTATTTCTCAAGGAACTGAGTGACGATAGCAAGGATTTACTCTTATGTTTAAAATGAAATCCACGTTCAGAAATTTACAGAATTTGCTGTGTTACGACTCTGTATAACTAAATTCATAAAAATTGTTCCCAGAAAAAAGGTCATTCCCTCTTTCTATCCATTTAAAAGAACAACAAAACATTATCTCAGATTAATTAACTTTAATCAGAACTGAATTACCCTCCCAAGTCTCTTCATGCTTTTTCTTCGCTTCTTCAGCCAGACTGGCTTTCTCATCCATTTTTGTTCGGGCATCGGCCCTCAGCTTTATTATTTCATCCAACTCCTTTTTCAAAGACTTTAACTTTTCTAATTTTTCATTTTTCAGCTGCTGACCTGCTGCAACCAATTCTACCCGCTTCACAAAACCCTGAAAATTTCCTGATTTATACTCATTACTGATAATTGCTGAGGAGAACCACTACAGTAACAATGTCGTGTCTTATAGAAAAATCAAAGGAAAATCAGGTTTAACGGTTAGCCAGTGATTTCTAAATAAGAAAGTTGAAATTTCGATAGAGGATAATACCATACTACAATCTATCAAGATTGGCACCACATGAAACAAGTCACCTGAAGATATTAGCAGTCATTCGTGAGATCAAATGAATAAAGGGCGAAAGATGGTAAACCTGATATTCAACAAAATTATTGTTGCTGAATTACCTGCTTAACTAATTCAGTTTTTTGACGTATTTCTTCTCGATACTTCGCCCCCAATTCATTGCAGATATCAGCACAATCAACTCCACTATCCCACTCATCACTCCCATCACAGCAATCTAAATAAAGTTGCTGAAAGAAAAATGTTTTGCCATCCAGAAATAAAGCAGTTCTTTTTGCAGTTGACAAAACTGACCTCAGTCATCAAATATTCGAAAATTTCAACAGAGTTCGAGAAATTTCCAAATTATATACATTTGAAATCATTGATTTAATTCCGGAATAAATCATGCTTTACAGAAATGTGAGAGGAAATTCTTGCTGCAATAAAACTAATAAGAAAGAAATGAAAAGCAAGACTTTGGAAGTGAGGAAGTTGAGTACAGCTGCACAGCTGTTACAAATTCCCAGGTGACTGCTACCGTCAATATGCTTATACTATCTTAGTGATAATTTTTTTCTATAACTTTTTTTTATAAATTCAGTAAAGATTAACTAACCGCATATTTGATCATTCACTCGATTTGATGGTAAATCGTCAGGCTTAAAACCGCGATTCAAACAATGAAATTTGGCATTGGGACATGCAGACGTTCCTGAATTAAAATATCACGATGCCATTTTTCAGATTCCAAAACATCGGTTAACTAACTGCCGCTATTTGTAATAAAAAAAAGAACAAACAAAAAACTTGACACCTTCAGCTACCATAACAAGAACTTTGCATTTTTGCATATATTATTTGGAATAAATTTTGTCAATTTGTCGGTGATTTTATCATGCCATAAAAAAAGGAGATGAATATTAAACTCAAAGCAAGGTTGCGATATTACGACCTTTCTGAAAGTAATGAAGTACTGCAAATTCGAAAGCATGGAACAGTGTTAACTGGATTTCAGTTCTGGATAGTGAATTCTCAGTAAGCCGGTGGTTAAAGAAAATGAGAAGGAAAAAAGCATCAGTATACAGACCTGGCTCATCGCTTCCATCAGGACAATCGCAATAATCATCATTAACTTGCGAAAATGGAATTGACTTGGAGTTGTCTACACATGCAAATGTTTCACCGGTTGCATAGAACGGCCCACCTTAATAGATCCTTCACGATTATTCATTCATCATTTCTTATGAATTTGTCAGTTCTATTTTCCTTAACTTTTTCAAGATATCGGAAATGTAACATTCTGGCGATGGAATGTCACATTTCTCATCTCCGGACTCATACCTGATTGCTTTCATTTTAGTTCAGTACGTTTATTTAAAATTCATCATTACTAGCTGACTATGCGTAGTAAAAACACCAACGTGCGAATGGAACTCCACGAGGTCGACTGCCATATCCACTAGGTTTCGGTTTCCGTCCAGTCTTCCTCAACAGCCTAATACTTATATTCGATTCAACGATGGCAATGAAAAAGTTCATAATACATAAATTGGCCAAAGTAAGCATCATTGTTGAGCTATAAAAAGAAAATGTTAACATAGGTATACCAGGAAGAGAGGTTTGAGGGATAATGATGTTAATTGGCTGACTCCAACTCTTTTATTACACGTCGAACTTGAAGTGATATTAGCTAACAGTACCTTAACCAATGAACGATAATTGATATACGTTCTAACACATTGTCCCTTCCATTTAACGGAAACAGACAGGATGTAAGCGAAAAGCGGAGAACGGGGGGAGTCCTGAAAGCACCATATAATACAGATTGCTATAACAAACCATACACAACGACAGCCAACTCATTTTCACAGTTCACACATAATACTGTCACTCGAAACGACCTTTATCAATTTGACACGTCAACTCGCCCTATCCATTCGCGTTATTGAAGCGTATCGTTCTCTTATATCTTATGATCTGTACTTCTCTTCAGCAATTACATCTCTCTCACAGCTCTCAATCGTCAGGAAAAAAGTCTGCAGTACTTTTTCCACAATTTCTCATCCGTTCGTTATCCAGTTGTGTTCATATGCTACCTTATTGGAATTCTACGGCTTTTCTTCGATGTAATGTAGCCATTAAAGCTTAGATCGTGAAGTGATCAAGGAGTTCAAATGGTAACCGCAAAATTTGGATATGCAGGATAATATTTCTATGCTGGCTCTTCCTTTTTTTTGAGATTCAAAGAAGAATCTAGAAGAAATGACCACTCCATCTAACCACATCAAACGTCTCATTTCTCGCATAAGCATGGATTTCGAGAGCGTTAGGAGAGTACCTTGTTAAAATAAAACATTCATTTAGGCTATCGGGTTGCATGAATGAACTTACTGTGCGCCTCTCAAAGATTTATTGCGATCTTTGAGAGGCGCAATAAGTTGGATAATACCGGGAGTAGTAGTGAAGACTGGACCATATTCAAATTAAGACTGAGAAATATAAGGATGCAGAACAGCTGTGGTATCATTCATTTAGTTCACTGCATTTGGTGTAAAGGCGTTGGTGTAAGGAGTTGAAGTGGGTGATAGGAATTGTTTCGTTTCCTTCATCAGATCGTGAATGGGCACTTCCAAAGGGTTGCAGTCGGAGAGCTCGGAATTCACAAGCACTTCCCGAACAACAACCTCCTTCTCTTCACCTATGCCTGCTATTCCTTCAAGGCTCGTTTAAATAAAACTAATAGATTTAGATTGTGGAATTAGTTTTTAAACATGGAAAAGCGGAATTCAAATTTAAGAAAAATGAAATGTGCTTGGAGGTGGAAATCTTTGATTGGACTGCTCATGAAAACCAACTGAGAAAGTTGAATCTGAACAAAGTAGAAGGTAGTGTCACATTTTGGTAAGTCAAAACCAGAGATAATCCATTAGATCGTCCAGAAATGACCTGATAGCGATTGTAAGCACTATTTATGAAACTCACAGCAGCTGGCGATATTCAACATAATACCGAATAAATGATCAGGAGGATCAATTAATTATTAATCTGATAGTCAACTATTAATCTAATAGTCAATTAATCTGATAGCCTAGTGTATTTGTCGTTAATTTAATAATGAAATCCCTCCCCTGGGAGAGAAATACTAGCTGAAATGGAAGATAACGAACACATCCGGCTGGATCGAAATTTCCTGTTTTTGGCATCGCTGCCAGAATACTTCCAATACGCGTCCTGTCCAGGTAAAGTGAAATCACTTTCAGATATGTGTTGAAGCCAGGTGAATATTTACATGATATTGAAGAATCAGAAACACTTGGTAGTTTCACACGCCGTGTGTGTTCCATGACTGTTTATGGTTTATTCTTTGATTACGCCACTGTTATTTCCAAGGATATCAAAGATCCATCAATTGTTTGTGAACAGCACGGAACGTTAAATCGATACAAGGATATTCGATGTCTTGATCAAACTAGAGTGATAGTTCCGTTAGTACCTTTCTACTTTAGTCAATTTTTTTCTCAGTGTCCATTTTTGCTTAAGCTCTTTTCGTTTTCTCTGCTCTGCAAATACAATATTCAAATTTTGATTTTCACAATTTGTGGATATTGGAAAGAATGAAAAACTTATACTTTCTGGGTCCTCTTTTGGCAAACTTTTCGACTGTGTTTTTATTCAAAATTTTCAGGCATGCATCAGGCACACATAATTATATCAATGCTAATTATGTGGATGGATTTCGGGAGGAGAAGAAATTTATTTTGACGCAATCGCCAATGGAAAGTACTGTGGAGTCATTTTGGGCGATGATTTATCAGGAGAATGTGGTTGAAATTGTTGCAATGACCAGCTTGTATTCAGCAGCCACATTTCTGTATGTTCCAATTAAACGAGCAGCTACCGCAATATTCGGACCCTATTCCATCAAATTTTGTGGATCACAATTAATTCGGGATGCCTATGAAGCGTCTGTATTAAAGGTTGCCTACTTATTAATGCTTCATTGTTAGCAGTTCGATTTTGTGATAACGTCTATGGGATGATGATATCGATGGCAACAGTACTTAATGTACTGGGAATGGCTTTGAATCGAGTGGGAGATGCATCTACACGCCTAACAATCCCTTTTAAGTGGTTTTTGGTGGTGTAATGTGCTTCACATCGAATTTCAGTTGAAAAAGGGAGATGGTCAGGAAAGGAAAATTCTTCATATATGCTTTTATACATGGCATGATAAAGGGACTCCAGAAAGACCAACTGAAATGCTTTATTTGGTGTCCGATATAAATTATAATCGAAAGTTGTTCACTGAGGAAGCGGAAAAAAGCGGCTGGTTTAAAGGTGGACGGTATGTTTCCGATGTATATCATCTCTTAGTTTTAAGACATATCTTAAAAACTGGACTACGTTTCATTATCCTTACTTGTTCACTATGCCCAGATGATTTTTATTATCTGATACCTTTTATAAAACTATGGGATAGATTTAAAAGTCTCATTTCAATATTTGCGGTCCCTCTATAGATCAACTTTTCCGAATTAGAGAGAGATATAACCTCTTTCGAGAACAGACGATATGCTTTATTTCTAGTTCACCAATCGTTGTACATTGTTCGACGGGTGCAAGTAGAAGCGGAACACTGGCTGTTCTGGATATTTGTTGCCGTAAAATGGATTATACCGAGAAACTACCTCATGGTAATGTATTAGTAGACGTTCGGGATACGGTACTTCGTGTCAGAACACAACGTGACAAAGCCGTTATGAAGCCCGAGCAGTATTTATTGTTACATTTACTCGTGATTGAATATGCGTTACGCCAGAAATACTACGATGATGTTGATTTCATTGACTTGTCAAACTATACCAGTGCTACATGAAGATTGCCGATCTGTTGCAGTTTTGCATTACTGTGAAACTCTGGCAATGCAACGTGAAAATAATGTAATAAATTATCTATTGTGCTGTCAGAGCAGATGATCGTTGATTCCATATCACAAATGAAACGCATTGATTCCAAAGCAAAAAGGGAGACAGCCAGAATGCACGATTTCCACGAAAGATGGGAAATCAAAGGATGAGGGCAGAAAATACCTTTATGATTCTTCAACTCTTTTTGAATCGAGAAGCTTGAAGGTTTGTTCTTGGACGAATATCATGATCGTCAGGAAGGTTCTCTTTGTCTATTATATGTATGATGTATTCGAGACATACAAGAGAGCAAGTAGTGTTGGGATATCCAAGTACAATTAGTTTTATCACAGATAAAAATTATTACTGCTACAAAATAATGAATGCGCTGAAGATACCAAATAAAATATGATCTCGAAATTTGCTGTAGATCATTGTTTGGAAATTATGTTTGGACCCAGAGATCACTTCACTGCCCGCAAAGCGGCATTTCTCAGCAACCGATAAGTCCTTGTGAGCTCACCGGTACCTACTTTCAAGCCATTGGTCACATATGCGAGCACCAGTTTCTTCTCCATATCCATCATTATCGTGCTACCACCAAGACCTGCATGTCCAACTAACCAATGACCCTATGAACAGAATTATAAACATTATAAGCCTTTACTGTTTACTCATCATTGCTTTTTTTTTACTCATCATTGAACTCAATCATAATGTTAAAAGAATATTAAAAACGTACGTACAGGCTTAAATGGATGACGCTCGTACATGAAACCATATCCTTTTGGTAGCGGAGCGAGGACAACTTCATCCAAACCACCTGATATTTCTGGAGTTTTGAAGAGATCCAACAAATTGCTAGATACGATTTTTCCTTGTAAGAAAAGTGAGAATAATTTAGCTAGATCTTTGGCTTTCGTTATACCCAAGGCTGCTGCTTGTTCCATACGATGAAGATCCGGATCGTTGAATGTATTCACATTCTGAAAAAGATCTCCATCAGAGTTTGTGGCAAGGCAAATATGAAAAGCCTTTGTATCTCTAGTCTTGGCTTAAAGGGAAAAAAAACTGTGAGAGGATTACCGTATCCAGTTTCATCCAAGTAGTTGTTTCCCGAATTTTTCGTGCTATTGAATTGGGTGCTCTCAAATTTAATATGCCCAGCAGGTAAATAATCCTTGGATCGTATAAAATCTCCTTCAGTTTGTAGGAAAATGGAGGTGCTGTTAATCGAGATACGGTATGTTCTTCTTCCAAAGGTAAGCCGAAATGAAAGTCGATGTCTGAACAACATGAATAAATAATATTACTGCACAAGAGAATTTTTCTTCGTTTTTTTTTGGTTCCTTCATACAAAGATAGTTGAAGATTTTCGATTGAAAGTGTTAACTAATAATAAATTATTATTTAGTAATTATTAAAGCGGTTCGATTCAAAGGTGAAGATCTTGTGTATGTATGAAAAAACTGACCGAAATTAAGAAATGTATAAGTAACAACATTGAACCGTATAAGTAACAGTATTGGAAACCAAGAAAATACATGGATTTAGTGAAAAATGAGTCGTCATGGACTAAAAACTGTGAGACTTTTCCAGATCATAAAACACAACAGCGATCGATAATTTTGATTTAACCCACCAAATTTTTCAGCAATTTCTTGTCTAAAAAAGGTTGCGATGCCACGATGCTCCGAATCAATATGCCTAATAATTTGATCAACAAGCCATCCATATGTTACTGCATGATATCCTGCTTTGGTACCTGAACTAGACATAATAATTTATTTGAAATGATGTCATCATTAAATCTGTTTCTCCCAAGTTTCAGTGATGCGTAGGGTGATCCAAGAGTAACTAAAACTTGTTATTTAGTTGATAATAATTGTTTACACTAATAAAAGAATCCATGTTTAGCTGCTTTTAATCTTGTCCCACTCAAATATCACTTTAATTATCTTTTTTATGAAACAGTAGCGACGGCATTTTTGAAGGGAACACATGCAAGTAAGGGTATGAAAGTGATTGCATCCTTGAATGGTAGATTTTTAAGCGAATTTTTCATTAAGAAATACCGCTTAATCTTACCTGGTGTCCAATTCGGTCTCTGTCTTGCAATAATTTCGGCTATTTTCCCATGATCAAATGCATCTTCCTTAGTGACTGGTTCACCAAAAGCTGCCAAGCCCGCCTTAAAAAAAATTGACTTTTTTAAGGATTTATTCTACATCAGTCGTTTACAATTAACAACAAAAGATCAAAGAGCTTACGCGGTGATTCATGATCCAACCAACAGTGATATTTTCTTTACCATTCTGACCAAATTCTGGCCAAAACTGACAAATGCGATCCGAATACTGTAGTTGTCCTCGATCAACCAACACAGCTACACATAGTGCACTTACTGCCTATATAACAGTTGAAATCTTATACCACCATATCAGAATATATTGCCCATTTCAGGAAAAGATTACAAACTTTTGTAGCAGAAAATACGACAGTTCTTGTGTCGGATGTCCAAGGACGAAGTGAGCTTGCATCTGCATATCCTCCCTGCAAATCGACCACTAATTCACCATTCCGATATATCGATATTGCCGCACCTTCCCGTTCCCATCCATCAATAAAATTCTTCCTGTAAATTGAAAGGATGAAGTGGCAAGCCAAGAGCGATGCTTTGTGATTTTATGCATCGAAACAACTGACTGCACCGAAAAGAATGCATTGAATTTGTCTCATATGACTTTAAATTAATCAAATTAACAAAAAAAAAAAAAACAAATAATAAAGATTTTTCTGCCGTCGATGCTTGATTTAGTCAGATATTTCACTGTTCGTAAAAATTATCAGAAAAAGTAGTTATCATGTGGCATAACCTCAGGAGTTAGTGATAAGTACTTTCTTACTTTATGAGATCTGCTGCTTGATTTAATAAACATTTTTCTCTTTTGTGGATGATGGTCTGTTTGCTCATTTCCATCAGATTGATTATTAATGAGGGCTGAATAACTTTTCGAAAGACAAAAATCTTTCATCATGAATCGTTTGCGTCATATCATGAAATTTTTACACTTCGTAGTACCAAAAGAACCTGTTTTACAAGTTGAAACTAGAAATTTTTGTCGCTACTAGTTCGTCGATTTCTGCCTTTGATAATTTATGTTCATTTAATCTGTTTGTAATAGGAATGAGAATGGATTAACATGAAGACGAAGAATAAAACAAGTTCCACAACATTCTTTGTTGGCATTTGATCGTATCTAACTAATTTTTATTCCCATTCTTTCTTCTGACAAAAAGTTTTTTCTTAAAAAAAATTTTCTGGCAAATATTTGTTATTCACAGTGCTCCATATTTTATTCCTATTGTTTTCATTGTAATTATAAGAAAAAGAGGTAAAACAAAATGGAATATCATAGTTCTATCATTTGTATCGTGTGAGAGAGATATATGATAATCTAAAAAAAGGATTTATTGCTAAATTCGTTTTCGGGCCCAGGTGGTGCCCAAAAATTCAAACATTTTTTCTTTCTCCAGTTATAATGGTTATTCATAGATGTTAGCAATATTTGTTGCTATATGGTTAGTGCACTCAATTCATCAAATGTTTTACCAATTGCGCTTTTTGGAATGGATTAGTTCGAAACACAAGTATATGCCATTATTTATGTGCTTATATCAAACGACGATAATTACCCATTTCCTCGTCTTTCCAGTGTGCTTTCCTGATCAAGCAAAGTTATAACTATTTGTAATGAAATTAAAATTTCTAAAACGAAGTCACTGGTAAACAACTTTCTAGAGGCTTTTAAGTGTGCAAAGAACAAAAAGCTCCGAATAAGAGCTCAAGAAGTTTTTAAAATAATATATTTAAAAAGAATCCGGACTTTAAGTTTATGTCAGCTCGAGATGCTACCAAACACATCCCGATAGTACTAATGTCTTTATAGGCTTTTTGACAAGTGGTGATCAGTTGAGTATTGAGTGTAATGGACAACATTACATAAAATTGGAAATCGTGTGAGTCAAAGATAAACGATAAGCGACAAAAATAGCTATTTGTCCTATGACAAAAACACAGTAATCGCTATCAAAACCAATTTAAGACATTTTTTATAATACACCGATTTCATTCAAACAAAAAGGAAGTAGTTACCATCATTCAACTTCTTTATAATCACTAGATGACTTGGAAAGAAAAAAGTTCGGGAGATTTCTAATCATCTCTCTTTTAATTCTTCAGGATTTAGAGAACTGCATATGAAGTACTTCACTACTTCAAGAGCTACGAAACTAATCCGGTTAGCAAAAGCTGTTTCGATTGGTTTAAATCGGCCTATTTCACAGAGCCAGATATGGCGTTTTATTTGTTGTTCAAATTTATGAGCACTTTTCAGCAAAAAAATGTTCGCTAAATATTCCCTACCTGAAAACTCTTTCGACTTCAGTAAATTGCTTCGTAGTTGTGCCGAATATATTATTGGCCAGTCGATGTTGGTTATTTTTTTGATACATAAATAGATTGTTTCAAAAACTATTGCAGCTAGGAACACTAATATAACTGATAAATATTGCTGACGAGTAAAGCTGCTAGTAGTGTTATCAGTGGTAGTCATAGAGTCACTCCAGTTTTGGAGGGCGGTACAACTACTAATGACGTCGTCTCCGCTAATGTTGTAATCTGCTGTCACTTCGATAGAATTTTCAAATGCTGCAATTGCTGCTTACAAAATGGATAGCACCAGTCGAATGGCACTAATGACATTCGGCATTGTAACAAGTTATCATATTAAAAAGATAGGATTCTACTTGGTAGATTTTGATTTAAGCAAAGCATTCTCATAACAAGATCATTTATGAAATGGACGACACAAATCAGATAATTTGATTTGGTTCTGAGATGAAGAGAATAAACTAAAATAATCAGTAATATAGTTTATTGCTCTACCCATAAATAAAAGTTTTTTAATGCTTTAACATCATCAATCAGCACTGATTATTAGTTTTCTTCAAGGAAATGACTGCCAAACAAACCGCAGATGCATTCGCAACGTTTGCTTATTTATATTAGTTGTTTTGCATAAAATAAAATTGCAAAAAGTTTTAAAAACAAAGATTCAGGAATAGTTTAACCATTTCATAAATTTATATGTTTCAGAAGTGGTCTGGTAGGGTTCGAAGTAATTGGAAAAATACAAGATTAACTCAAAACATACGCGGTGCAAATGAGGATGAAAGTGGCAAGAAGGATAATGGTGATGTTGTTGATGAACTCAAACGACGCTTACTGCCAACTCTGACCGCTACATATGAACAGGTAAGTAGATATATGAGTCACCAAAAATACGAATTTGGAGTTACGGGGTTCATGTCTAAGAAGTTTTGTTGAGCAAAGTTGTCCTTCTCCTTAATTTACTGCAATTGGAAACTTTCCCTCACCTTATTCTTGCAAATTCATTAATATGAGATGAGACCCCCTGATTCATGGACATTTCCCTGTATGTATGAAAGAGGTGAAACAGTCTTTGCAGGGCGGTTGTGTAACAGTATGGCGAATGCCAACCGAAATTTCGCAGTCGCGATTGGCGGGTCGTTATAAGCCGTCTAATGCTTGCACAATAATTGCTGTCAAATTGACTGAATATATCTATCGGGAAGGCATTATACTACGACCTACACAAATATCTCTTCCAAGCAAAAGAAATGGTGTCAGGTCACATCCACGATTTCATCCACGAAATTGGCCATCGAAAATATTAGCCGAATTTGAAAAAGCTCGGCCAATTACGGTATAAATTCTTTATTGCTTTCCAATGGTCATTACACACAGGATATTAATCCAAATGGTAATGAAAGATAGAAATTATTGAGTTTGAAGAAAAAATGTTTTAGCAACACTTTGTGTGCTTCAAAATGTATTTTCATTTATAATGTTCCGATTGAACAGCAATTTATCATTCATCTAAGGAAATGTCATTTTTGCGACTGAATAATAATTCTTCAACAATGATACGACGACAACAAGAAGAAAACAACAACGGAAAAAAAAATCATTAACTAAACTTTGTCTTTATAGCGTTGTTCAGCACAACTGTTAAACGCGTTCATTAATGCCATCATTGAGGGTAATGAAATACACGAGCAACAAATGGCAAAACGACGTCCGATCTGTTCTTGTTGCGATCGTCATGCGGAAACATTCACTATTCCACAGGTATCGATGTCAGTCACGAATATATTTGAACACATTGAGGATAGAGAATGTTTAAATCATTTTCAATGTTTTAAGCTGTTTTAAAAGCCGTTTTTTTTTTTGCAATAGAGAATGTTTTAAGCCATTTTCTGCATTTAATTTATCAATAATTTCAAGAATATTAATAAAGATGGTCAACGAGAGCTAATTTATTGACTTTTATTTGTAATAAATGAAAATGATTAGAATGAATTGATTTGCTCTTAAGAATTTTGCAAAATAATAAGCAGGCACTGGAAGGGTGTGGTAATGTATTTCGAGAAATTGAGTACGTTACTGTACATGGAAAAATTATTTATAAATTGAAACAATTTTTGCTGGCGCCTATAAAAAGGTGTGGTTTCTTTGTTTTTCCTTCTCGATCATATATATTCTGAACTCCCTTCCTTGGTTGCAAATCATCAGTCTTTGTAGTTTATGAAGTGTGGCAATAATTGTAATTTTTTACTCTTCATTTTTTGGTAATTCAAAAAACTAACTCCTCACTAAAATTCAAATTTACATCTTAACTAATTAGGAACTAAACTCTTTTCAAATGAAGCACCTTTGCGCATGCAGATTGCTTCTCTATTTCTTCCACAGACTTGAATTTGATTCATGCTTTTTGCTATAGCAAGCAAAAATAATAGTAACAAATACATATCCTGACCAGTGGACTGTAACAAGAGTGAAATCAGCCTGAGATTTTTGTTCCAGTGATTTTCTCAAGGATCATTTACAAATCTACATGATACTTATTGTATTTGAACGGTCTGTTTTACTGGTCTATGAGCGTGAATGCAATGCAATATTCCTACTAGACACGCACACTCATCTGAAGACAAGAAATATGAAGACAGGTAAACCGTTAGAAAAAAGACAAAAGAAAGACCCATACAAATTTTGAAAGTTCATTTAAAAGGAAATCTGTTCCAGGAGGTTTGATCGCCATGTGTCCACTGAATAATTTGGATTGTTTGATTAAATGGATGTGCAGAAATATTTTTCCGGAAACAGCCTGCAAATTGAATTGTGATCAGGTAATGATGATTTCAAATTCAATGCATCCGATTAAGCTTTCACTTCCAAAGTAATAATGCAAAATTAATAAATTTGATATCTCAATTCATTATTTTTAATATAAGTGATGCAGTCTCGACAGCGCATTGCATGCTTGCAGTCCTTCGAAGTATCTGTACTAACCTTCAAGGGACAACTTAGTAAGGACGAGCATCCGCTATTCGTGCCACGAGTTGTGGAAACGCTGCATCTCTTTCCGGGACAACATATCGAACAAACATTCCATCCAGTAACACATGCAAATGAGATGTACTAAGACAAAGTGGATCAAAAGCGATTTTCGAATAAATTTATAAAAACGCCACAATTTAACTCATTATTTGACTAAAAAATGATTAAAATTGATTATTAGAATAATGATACTACGACAGCGAATATATCAGATTATACGGAATAAGGCGATTGCAGTCGTAGGGCAAGCTGAGAGATTTTGCATTCCATAAAGACCGAGTAGAGAGTGAAATAGCTGATATACCTGCAGAAGGTAAACTTTGAATCCGGTCAAGAAGTGCAAAATCCTTACAACTAAGGAGCCCATATTGGGTGGAAATGTTCAACAGCTGTCGACGAACCTGAAAAAATGTCATGAGTTATTTCAATTAAAATTCAAAATATTTCTCAGATAAATGATTTGTTATACGAAATTAATAAAATAAATTATTTCGATATCTAAAGTGATGAGTCACTTATCAAATTAATTCTCGCAATTTTTTAACCAATTTTAAAGTTGGAGATAAAGCCCTTTGCTGTAAACTTTTTTCAATCTGTTAATCAAGCTTACATACAACTGTGGGAATATTGTAAAGAACTTATGTACAAATGTCGAAATTTTGTAACGAACTTTTGGTCTGATAGTTGAACCAATATTTCTGGAACGTCCACTATAAAAAGAGCTATAATCAATCATCCGGACCATTAGTTGCCAAACCCAAAAAGCTTGAGCAGTCACTCAATCCGACAGCTCCTACAGTTTCGCAATTCGACAGTTCACGAAGTTACTCAATCGGAGAGCTATCGCAAGCACTCAAGGAAAAGCATGGTTAGCCACTCAGCCATGACAACTATTCAATGGCAGAGAAGCGGTAATACGACAGTTCAACAGCGCTAATACTTACTGTGTACTGTTCATTTCGTCCCTATCATTGTTTCAGTGCGATACTGTACCATATTGTATAACATCAATGAATGTTACTACTATCAATGCTGCGGAGTTAAAACAACAAAGTTAAATCTACAAAATCATTCCCTGACAACAGCTGACTAAACGTTTGTGCTTTGCCTGACCTTTTTCATTTCTCAGTGTGAAATAAAGATTCAAAAAGATATTAAGCACAAACCTTTGAAACCGCGTATACTAGTGCTTGAATATGGCAAAATGACTCGGATTATGTGAGTGATGTGAAAATAAATGTATTATCAGAATTGATCGCTTCACCAAACAGCAGTTAAAAGAGTTATCAATCCACCATGTCTCATTTCTAAGTTTCATGTAGGAGGTGTGATTAAAAATTAAAGCGAACGTCATGCTTGATTACGGGCTTTTATTTTAAAAGGATATAATCTTAAGCATAGAGTCAAGTATTGGATGAGGTGAAAACTTATCATCCACCAGTTAGTCAAGCATAGAACTCGTTAAAAATGCATCATATCACGAAGTGGGATAATTCATGCTAACTTCCGCAAGATTCATACATGTCGCTGTAGCTGCAACGCAAAGGTGAATTGAAACCAATTGTACAGTTGGTTTTCTGGGAGCATCGGCCGATATATAAAATCATAATCAGGACTTCCCGAGGTGAAGTTGTGCAGATTAAATATTACTATATATTGGTTCCTATCAATGTTTAAGAATGCTTCACTCCCACTGACTATCACAGTTAAAAGATCTTTGGAGTGTCGCATTGATGGATTCATTTAATTGCACATGGATATACAATTCGGGAAGAGAATTCATAGCTTTCGTGGATTTGACGTGGCAACTGTTTACTTTTATGTTGTTTTTCCCAGCACTGAATGTTAAAGTTTAATAATTTAGGTGAATTATAAATTTTACAATAAAAACAAGCTTTATATCCAGAACACGTGCTGATAGCATGATTTCTGATAAAGCGAAGTATTTCATTCAGTGTATTTGACCTCTTCTTACATGATTGTATTGTCTTTCTTTTCAGAAATCGAATATTGCAATGAGCTCAAGATGTAAATGGCATTCGCTTATAAAGCAAACAACTCTCAAAGCAATATTCATTCCTATTCTTGTTTAGGGTTTTGTGCGGTTTGCTTACAGTCATTGCTTAGAGTTTAAGGGACCAAATGGGGATAACAAATGACAAAGGCGGCGATGAAGTTAAAACGTTGAAAGAAGTACAAGTGAAGCATTATTGCATTCCCATTATTTGATATCAGCATTAGATAGTTGCTTCATCTTGTTTTTATTTTTTTCTTCACTTCGTTGTATTGCTATTTATTTTGTAATTCCGCTTTTCTGTATCATTTCTGTAGCAGTAAAGAACTGTATAACCTTTATAACTTGGCCTTTTAAGTTGTGACCTTAATAGATTGAAGAAATCTACTACGAGATTTAAGATTTATCTTTAAGTTTGAATTTCTCCTAAATTTTTGCGTAATTCATTTTGATATTTGGTGGGAAGAGAGAATACTGCATCACCGATATTATATCATCAAATATGCATCAACGTTTCATTTACTTTCTTTCCTATAAAGCAATTCGTATAGTTATAGTAATTTACAATATTTATCCACAAAACTTCGGCATTTTTTATACATACACAGAAAATTTGTAGACTAGATAGATGTTATGATCGGTAGACATAGTACAAAGTCAATTGAAAAATCAAAAGAGAACCAGTTTGCGAGACAAGTATCAAATTATTCCACAAATGAAATTCACATTAATACGTAATCTTTTTTGTAGGCAGAAAAAAACGGTTACTTATATACAAGTGCAGAAGGTTACTTGCGTGATAAACCAAAATTTCAACGTACGCGGCGAGAATATTCCTATTTACCGTACTATGAAAATATCAATCGGAATGCTTTTTTTTGGTTGGAGCAGATAAAAACAGGCCTGGCCGCTTCCACCTTATCATATGCTGCTGATTCAGGGATTTCTTTTTGGATGAACCAACTTAGCCAGTTTGTTCCTTTGTTCATCCATTTGATATATCTAATCACAGTTATTATACATTTAATAAATTGCTGAGAAAAAGAGAAATTGAACTATTTCAGATATTTAAACCGTTTCTATTATCGTTTCTCCA